CTTCATTTGACTGTTCTTCTTTTGAATTTTGCACATTATAAAAATACTACAGAATGCAACGAACAATTAATATTGTTAAAAGCGAGAATATTTTGAATATGCAAGCTAGCTTAGTATTGGAAGGTATCATTGTTCTGGTCAGTGATATTTTCAATTTAGAACTTGACAGCAAAGACAAATTTTGGACCGCTTTGTTGTGCGACAAAGATCAGAAAATCCATCGAATAACAAAATATTTATCATCAACAGGAACATGCATGCTTCATACAAAACTCATTGAACACTATAGCAGTCAATCTGGGGTTAAGTTAAATAAGTTGAAAATTAATGGTGAAAATGCGTATGTTGTTACATCAGGAACGATAGCTACACCCATAAATCTATCATTTAAACCTTTATGTATTCAACATACGACAATAAAAAACATTCAATCTATGTCAGATGGAGAATATCTAACATTTTCATGTAAAATTATAGACATTGGTTCAGTAAGTTTTCAACAAAAAAAAACACTTTCTTACCAAATATTTTCTTTTTGAGGAGAAAATTGTATTCTTTAATAATGTACATAAAAGGATTCAAAAATTTAAAAAAAAACTGTACTAGTGGCTGATAAAACTGATTGTATCAAATTAAATCTTTGGGAGAACAATTTTACATTTATAGAAAAGGATCAATCTTTCTTAATTAAATTAGCAAAAGTGAAAATATTTAATGATGAAATATCTGTAACAACAACAACACACACAACGTGAGCTTCTCTATTATTCGCCTTCGTTTTTCTTTATTTATAAACAGCTTCCAAATTGATAAATATCTCTTGACATACACTTTTAAAAAACTCCGTAAAAATATTTTTTTAGATTTGAGTCCATCGATAACATTGATGATGTTGTCTCTTGTGATTTTTTTTAACATCGTACAAGATTCATCAATATCAGGTGCTATAACTTCAATAGGATTAATAGAGCAGCCTTGTCTTTGTCCAAAGTGCTATTCAACTGATTTTGAATGGCAAGGCAAGACTATTAAATGTATCACATGTAAATCAAGATCATTGTATTTACAAGACTCAACTCAACAAAATCAAATAAAACTTAATGTAACCGATATTAATCATAATATGTTTGAATTCATTATTGAAAGATCAACATTTCAAGCTTCATTGCAACAATCTAATCATGAACAACTTTGTCAAAACGATTTGCTAGAAGATGAAGATGTATTATTAGCCTTATATTCGATGAACGTTTTAATTAATTTTAATCCAAAAACTATGCATATACATACTATTGCATTAAACAATATCTAGAATAACTAAATAAATTTTCTCAAACATGAATACAACTAAGCATTTCTAAGTTCCTAACACTTTAAGAAATAAGTCATAGCTTTTTCTATTTTCAAATTCCAGCATTTTTCGATCTAGATATTTATGATGTTTCAAGAATTCTTTCGACACTTTCGCTGAATTTGATGATTCATATAGATTGATTGCTACATTTTCTTTCATACATAAATATTTAGCTACATGATCATCTAAAAACATCACAGACCAGTCAACAGTTTCATATGTTTTACGCCGCTTTATATAAGTTTTAAATCAATGGTATTACCGCACTAATTTGTATCGAATTCAAATACACGAAGATTCCTGTTCGCTTTATTATCGAACCATTACATATCACTGTTCAATCAAATTAACAGTAGTATCCTTAGAGAAAAACACTAAAACTCACCAAATCAAAACTTACATTTTTCTTGTGTTTTTTTTTTCTTAAGAAAAATTCATCGACACTTTTCGGAAAATTAAAAATTGATTAAAGTGCTTATATTAATTCTATACACTGTCTACAGACTAATTCTGAACAGCATTTTTTTAGTTTATTGCGCAGAATTTCATAAATAATATCTAAAATTTTACACAACTGAATATAATGTCAATACTTCGACAAAAAAACTTATCCTTCACCATTTAAACTGGGTATATCGTGTTTCACATTTTTAATCCCGTAAGAGATTGCGCTAACAGCTTTTTTTCAGTGTATGCACTTTTTCAAGATGCTTTTCTAGGCTTTTGTCGTAAACTCTGATAGTTGCTTCGACGGCAAATTGATAATCTCTCGCGGACAAAAAAAACGGCCTTTTTTCATTTCACTTTTGCATCGCTTTACACTTTGTTTTAAAAAAACAAAATATACCATAAGATGCAGCGTGAAAAGAACTACGACCTACAAAGTAAAGCTTATTTTATTTGTGTGCTTTTTGCTTTCGAAAAAAAGCAAAATCCTGTGCGCCCAATTTTCGACGCTGCGACAATATCATTTTTTTTTTATGCCAAGGAGAAATTCCTTTTTCTTTATTTCATCGTTTTATCACCTAATGTGCTTTTCTGAAAAAAAAACAAAATATACCAGAAGATGCAGCGTGAAAAGCTCTATAATTTACATAGAACAATTTATTCAAATACGAAGAAAAGAATTTCTCGTTCGTGTAGAAAAATGATTTTTTTCGCAGCGTCAGACATTGGTCTCACAGAATTTTGCTGTTTTTGAAAATGAAAAGTACATAATTTAAATAAGTTTTACTTTGTAGATTGTAGAATTTTTCACGCGGCATCTTCTGATATATTTTGTTTTTTTTTTCACACAAACATACTGGTTGATAAAAAGATGAAATAAGAAAAAAGGAATTTCTCGTCGCATAGAAAAAAAGATTTTTTCGCAGCGTCGAAAATTGATAGCACAGGATTTTGCTTTTTTTGAAAGAAAAAAGTGCACAATTAAATTAAGCTTCACTTTGTAGATTGTTGAGTTTTTCACGCTGTATCTTCTGGTATATTTTGTCTTTTTTTCAGGAAAGCACATTATGTGATAAAAAGATGAGATAAGATGAGGTAAGATAAGATAAGAAAAAATGATATTCTCGCAGCGTCGAAAATTGGGCGCACAGGATTTTGCTTTTTTTCGAAAGCAAAAAGCACACAAATAAAATAAGCTTTACTTTGTAGGTCGTAGTTCTTTTCACGCTGCATCTTATGGTATATTTTGTTTTTTTAAAACAAAGTGTAAAGCGATGCAAAAGTGAAATGGAAAAAGGCCGTTTTTTTTGTCCGCGAGAGAATGCTAATGCCGAGATGACTCCTTAAAGAAAGCATTTATAGATATATGTCAGCGTCCAAACTGAGATTACGTCCAATCTCAGATTGGCCTAGGCGAATGTCGGATCCGAGATTGAACGCGTCCAATCTCGGATTCACGCAATTCTGTTCATTAAAATATAAATTACTCTTTAGGCAGACCTTGGATTCGAACTTTTTTTTGAAATTATGTTCACACAATGCCAGTTTGTTTGGCACAATTGTCATTTGGCAGATTTGAATAAAATTTTAGGAGTTATGAATAAATTTCTAGAGAACAACAACTTTTGTGAAAAAATTTTATTACATTTTTGAGTCTAAATTTAGCTTCTTCCTAAATGCTTGTAATACTTAAAACGGCATTGTGTGAACATAATTTCAAAAAAAAGTTTGAATCCAAGGTCTGTCTAAAGGGTAATTTATATTTTAATGAACAGAATTGCGTGAATCCGAGATTGGACGCGTCCAATCTCGGATCCGACATTCGCCTAGGCCAATCTGAGATTGGACGTAATCTCAGTTTGGACGCTGACATATATATGGCGATTTTCTAATTTCAATTTTGACCTAAAAAAACATTATTTCAATGAGAATCAGGAGTTATTCTAAACAGAGTATACGACATAAAGCTCTCGACAAATTAGAGATCTTCCCTATAACAGAAGTCCTTTTTTCCAAAAATAATCAAACAGTTTTCCTGGGCTAAAACAAGAAAGTTAGAGGTTAGAAGATCTAGTTCCATGGTCGATTTTTTAAAAATAATTTCAGCAGTTTATTTTTCGTTTTTTTAATACTTATGTTTTTGTTTCTACGTAAGTAATACCTGCACAATATTTTGCGTCGATCATGTTAGCCTCGTATCAATTCTGAAATAAATCATTTATAAGATAAAACTGATAATAGACTAGGGTGGTCAATTTACATTTACGAAAATTTATTAAATCGAAAAATAACTTATATTTACACTTTCTCTCTGCAGCTAATTTTATTCTTCAATTGCCTTTACTGTTTTTAGGGACCTATCATAGTCAAACATATCTATGAAACAACTCATTTTTATACTTGTTATGTGCGGAATTGCCATTGTACCGCATGAGATGTGTGCCACCTTCACCATGGAACAGAATTGGGATTACCATGGAAATGATCTTGGCAAAGTAACAATACAAACCACTTATGCAGATTGTTGTGATGAATGTTCTAAGAATGATAAATGTAATGCCTTTACATGGAATTCGAAGACACACAGGTGCTTGCTCAAATCAAGTGTCGGTAATGGTGGAAGCTCAACCCGAAATACTTATGGTGGACGCCGCCAAGGTAATAGAAATATATCAGACAAATCGCAATTTTTCCAAAAGAATTCCGCTGCAAAATGCGGAGAACAGATTGCTCTCTGGTGAATTCTTTCGTAGGATTGACAAACGGGTGTGGATGTGGCTGCTAATCTTCTCTGCATTCATATCCACACACAACCCAAAAAATCATCAGAGGGAAAAATGTTAGACGAAAAGTGGTGCAGATACCGTCGGCCATTAAAAAAAAGACGAGAACTCTACTACATGCGGATCTTCTTAGCGGCCGGCACCGGCAGGCGATAAGCCTACGGGACTTTTAAAAGAATCAATATACATTATCAAGAGAAAAATAAGAGTACACTGTTTTTAGTTACTTTGCAAATTGAGCTTTTTTTCTAAAAAAAGTCATTCACACTACCTCTTAACAACAGGTAGAAGAGATATGTAATAATGACATTTGTACAATTTATTTTTTTTTCATTTTATTTGTAGACGGAAAATACACAATGATGCCTCCATATTATCAGGTATGAGCGATTCATAATGAGTAACGGAAACTTCACAATCGTATAGTCTTGTTTATTCAGAGGAGAAAGGATAATATATATATAAATGCTGAGAGCCAAAGCCAGATATACTACATAGTGATCTTGAGGATGTGTGGATAGATGTAAGTGTCATTTGTAATAAGAAGCACATCCACACCCGATAGCATTACAAAGAATAAAGCTCCGATCTTAACATTAATACTTTTATGTTATGATATGTTTTAGTTTAAGCAAAACAAGAAATGCAATCGACGGGCAGATTGTGGAAAATACGAATTTTGTTCTACTCGCCACATATGTGTTCCTATGCAGACAGCCGAAGCACCGATATGGGAATATTTAATATAACTTTGAATCTTTATTTTCGTGTGTACAGCATTGTATACATATCAGTCTATGAAGATAACAAGCTATTCTATCAATTATACACTGTATAAATAAAATTTTAATGTTGAATCAATGTGTTTGAATCAAATAAAGATCGTCTAATAAAAGATTCTGTTAGCTAGAATTCTTTGTGGAGTTGCTTCTCCAATTTATTTACGTTAGTGCTACTTCGATAGGAAGATTGTATGATACATCTTTTCTATTGTTTACTGAGCGTAAAGTATCTAGAAAGCAAAGACAATGTACGAATTCTTAGAATTTCATTAGGTTGCTAAACATTTTCCACTATTCAGCTTGGAAAATACATCTACTACCGATTTAGATATCTCTTTATACATGTAAAAAGCTGTTAAAGCAATCCCTATGAGATTAAAATGTAAAAGACGACATAGCTGTTGCCACTAATCATCTAGAAACTGCTTCGTTCGATATATTTTGTGATATATTAGTTTACAACTCTTTAATCAGACCTCTAGAACCGCAACGAGGCCTTAGTTCATCTATTCCAATGAGATCTTACTGATATATGGTCGTTAATCTTATTCTAATAAAGTCTACCATGGTTCGTGATTGTCTCTAGAGACCACCTATCACGACTGTGATCCTCTGGAGCTCGTCTGTCATGGTATATGTTTCCTATGCAGCCCGCCTGTGATGGTCTGTGATGCCTATGGAGCGCGTCTGCCACGATTTGTGATGGGTGTGGATGGATGGGTGTGGGTGTCGAAGGGGCCTCAACATAATAGTCACATCCACACTTTCAAACGAGGTTGTCCACACAACTGTTCAAGCATCACTAAATAATATTGACTCAATAGATAATAAATTGAATGATCACAATAAACATTTACAAACAGTCAGATCCATTGAAACTTTAATGGTTGCTGTATGTACTTTTTGTGAAACACGATCTAAAAGGAGTGTTGAAGTATATAGGGGTAGGAAGCTGCATACTCCCTCCTCTCATAGACGTGACAGACACTATAGTATTTTCTCATTTACAACGTAACAAATCAGCTCAATCGTGTTTCACATTAATCGCACAGGGATTGGGCTAACAGCTTTTTTTTCTAATTGAATTTATCATGCATAGCAAACATATTTGTTTTTATTTGAGAACAAAAAATAAGAATATTTATGCTTTCATACGAAGACATTTATCTGTTCGAAAACGTCGTTTAACGCAAACATTTGGTAAACAACAACGAATAAGATTAAATTTACATGGAACATATTGACGTGAATATCTTGGATTATAATGATGTTTATGATGACATACACTTCGTTTAGATAAAGCATGATTATCATTATTTAACTCTACATCATTGTTATTCATGTTCAACTATGTTGAATCCGATAGAATAATAATTAAAACAAAGAGGAAGAAGTAATAAGATAGTAAATATACGTGTTGGTTGCATGAATGGAAATGATAAACAATTCTAGAAAAAAATGGCGAATATTTATCTGTTGCTATTTCAAATGATTATGTGTTAACACGTTAGTAGAGGAGTTTGTCAAGTGATGGTAGGTTTGAATCACTGTTGAGATCACATATGCGTCGGAAAAATAAATATTTGTCCGCGTAAGAGTGCAGATCGAACAAGTGATAGATAAGAATAATGAAGTTTCTGTCATCTGTTCGAGATATTTATAAATCAACACTAATTAATAATAAGATATCGTTATTTTTTCTGGGTGTGTGCGAGTTTTTTTTTATAGTAAATAAAGGGTGTTTCATAAGTTTGAACCTTGATGAAAACTAAGTTATATAAATTTATATTGCTATTTTTAAGAGAGATGGTCTTAGTCAGTAAGATGTGCCTATAATATCGAACGGTCTACTTGAAGCTCATATGATTATATGTAATTAGGGATCATTTCTTGTCTATATATAAACTAGTTTTTATCGATGCTCAGAACTTATAAAACACCCTTGATATTTAATATCATTCATGCTGTAATACTCCAAGCTAGAATTTTGTTATAGTTAGAAAATTGCCTGAATACTAAAGCGTTTGCGACTTTATCTAAGTTTTTTCTAGGGTTCTTATGATTAAATCAAAGTTTAAAAATGAAGGCGAAGGACAAAGTCAAACAGAATGATATCAGTTTACCACTTACGATATTTTTTTCTTTCTATTATAGTATCAATAACATACATAGAGGTGTTGGGGCTTGAGAAAATTGTCAGCTGAATCGATGTGTTATGTTTATCAATCCTTATAAATACTGATCCTAAATCCCTCAAAATAACGAGTCGTTCTTGAAAATCTACAAGAAACTATTTTTACCATGCTTAATCAAATCATTGCCATCCTTATTTCTGTTCTTCTCTGTGGTACTCTTTTGGTTTCGGCCAATCCTGCTGCATCTGTCGAAGAACAACGTCGTGCCATTTCATTGCCAGACAACTTTTTATCACCAAATCCATTCTGTATTACAATGCTGTGCTTTATGCCATGCCCTTGTGGTAGCTATCGCGATCACCGTGGATGTGGTACCTGCAATTGCCGTCCATGTGATGGTAGCGGATGGGATGACAATTGGGCAATAGCTTAGTCTCCATTTTGATTGAATGAGTGATAAATAAAGTTTAAGAGAAAAGAATATTCAGTTGTTTTATATTAATTTCAAGCTATAATATATACTAAGCAAATTTGATTTGAAAAGATAATTTATAATCATTCAAATGAATTGATTTTGATATGCTTTAACACTTAATCGAAATGTTTGCAGCAGTCATTCATGTATCGAAACAAGTCTAGATGCATATTTGTTTGATCTCTACTATATAAATCCTTCACTAGAATTCATTATCCTTTTCTTGACAAAATAACTCAAGTATTTCATAAGAAGCTATATGTTATATTTATTAGTCGAATGCATACATACCTATATGACAAGAGGTGTATGATAGTAATAGAAATTTCTATGATGTTTAATATATATGACAGCAAGCTGATCGTGCATCCACTTGGGTCAAGGTTAATTACTTTATTTGTTCTCACCAAGATAATCAAAAAGTCTTTTATTCAGAAGTTTAAATTGTCTCAAAGATAGATACAAGTATTGAATCCTAAAATTTTCTGTTTTCTTTTTCTCACAGGACAGTGTCAAAGACATTGTTGAAATAAATCTTTCAAAATTATGCAGATTTCAGTATTGAAACATATTCATCTATTGGTACATTTAAACTATATTCTATGTAAATTGTCTAGGCTTCCAATCTATAGGCAATGAACAATGTTGTACCAAAAATGGTCAAGTTTATAGTATTACTGTTCAACCAAATGAATCAATCGAAGCCGAACTTATTCTTATTTCAGTTGAAGTTTGTTTCTTTCTCTTTCATATTTCTCTACAAGTATTTTTTTTCTTTAAGATTGCTTCCTAGGATTTTCTTCTTCCAATTCGTACATATCTACTATTAATCAATGTTGAAGATTTATCACAAGCATCAAAATCACAATCAGCTTTATGTCCTCAACGTGAATTAAGTGCCAATGAACAACAAGTATTACAACCGTCACATCCATCTATATAGCGACATATACGTGCAACAGCATTATCTGATTGTTTATAATTATCAATAAAAGAATTACGTTTTCAAATGTATTCAACACGATTTAATGCTATGAAACAAAGTGCTTATTGTGGTTGTTAAGGAATAGTCTTAATTAATAATAGTAAAAAACTTTATTGGCAACTTGATTTGCGTTATAATATTACATTAGATAATGATATATGTCGCGTATTACCTTCATCACTTACATCATTTATAAGTTCATCAACCAGAATTGGACCAGAAGGTGAAATTGAATCAAAAGAAAGTTTTTCATTTAAAATTAATTTTGTACCCACAAAATCTGGAATGTACAGGATGTTCCAAAAGTTCGCCGAAAAAGTAAATTCGTATAATTCTTTTATTTGTCAAAATTAATTAACTATTTTATTTTTAGTATGATAGGTATCACCGCAAAGTTTTTCTTGATACGGATAAACTTCACAAACAATGTTGAAAGATATCACTCTTGGCTGAAATACAGAAAATACGTTTTTTCAAATTTTACTAAAAAAAACTGCTTTTCTTTCTTGGTCATTTCAATGTTTGTGATCTTCTGAAAGTTTTTACTTTTTTAGTGCCGTTTTATTAACGTTTTTTTGTGATATATCAGCGAACTTCAATACTTGATCTCTTTTTATGAGGATATCTAAAACAATAACTATAAAACGGCACTAAAAAAGTAAAAACTCTCACAATATTACAAAAATTGAAATGATCAAGAAAACAAAAAAAAAGCAGTTTGTTTAGTAAAGTTTGAAAAAACGTATTTTCTGTATTTCAGTCAAAAATGATATCTTTCAACATTGTTTGTGAAGTTTATCCGTATCAAGAAAAACTTCGTGATGATGCCTATCATATTAAAAATAAAATAGTTAATTAATTTTGACAAATAAAAGAATTATACGAATTTACTTTTTCAGCAGATTTTTGGAACATCCAGTATGTGATAAAGTAGAGTCGATTGCTCATACGAGATATTTTAGTTTGTGCTGGAAAATGAGCAGTAATTTTAGACATGGTATTAGAGAGGGATTTCAATACATACTAAGATACTAGATGCTCTTTTCCAATAATTAGAAGGGAGTTCTTTGATAAACTTGACTTAGTCTGTTAAGGAAAACTCGACGTAATGGTAGAATGCAGACAAATAGAAGATCCATATCAATATCTACATTCATTTATGCTCTTAAAACAATTTGAGATGCCCCAAAAACCGCATGTAAACGATCACAGAGATTTATACATCATTAATTAGAACAATGCAATCGTATTAAACAAAGATATGCGGTCATTTATTTGAACGCATTTTTTGGAAAATATCACACTGCTTATACGATTAAGTCTCATAATGGTTAAACAACGTTTTTCTCATTTCCTTAGTTGCCTCTATGTACTAGAAAATAGTTAGTGATGAACGCATATTTTGCATAATTATGACCTTGTTTTAACAATTAGGAAACTCTCACCGATTTCGAACGCTCACAGAATGAGATTCTGTCAGCTTCGACTAAAAATCTTTCTATGATAGACTCTGACTCGATCGTTGATGATCAATAGTTCAATGTGATTTTTTTTGTGGGAAACTGAATATCTACTGAAATATATCGGCCGAAAGAATAGCTTACTTTATTATGCTTTAGTGCATCTGCAAGACTTTGTGCCCCATTATCACCAACTTGATTTCCATAAAGATTCAGTAGTTTGAGGGTCTGTATGAAAAATTGAACATGCAAATACGACTTACAAATTAATTAAAAATGTATTTCATTCGTGTCGTATATTAGAATACTTATCAATAGATAAATATGCTGAAAAAATTGAAGTGAAAACTAAACGAGACTTTTGCAGATCACTTTTTCTTCTTAAATTTATTCAAAGACATGCCTTTACTCATAGATCGAAATTTTTCTTTAATATTTTATCAGTGTCTAATTTGTCAAAAACAATGAAGCAGAAGTACTTCGAAATATGAGACAATGTTTATATAGATGACACCGTCAACATACCTCAAGATTAGAGATCAGCGACAATTTATTCAAGAGGATTTTAATTAGACATAAAAACGAGCTTTTTTTTTCTTTCTTGTATATGCGATGGTAGGAAATGAAACAAAATCCTAATTCTGACATAGATCGGTGAAAATGATAATATTAAAAGTGTTAAATCTTTCTCAAAGGTAGAGTAATGAATACAATCATGTTTACATTCGAAATTGAATGTTAATTTAAGATATTCAAAATTGAATAAAGAGAACTTTGGCTTAAAGAGCTACGAAAGATTTTTTACTTGAATTACTAAAAATATTTAGAATAATCTGTTGATGTTTTTGTCTTCGAGTAATTTGATTTTAGTATAGAAGTAAATAAAAGTAATAGAAGTTTCAATTTTTTTGGATGAACAATGTTAAAAATTCATAACGAAAATGGAAAATAAAACGAAAGAAAAATCAACATAGATAATATCGAATAGAATAAAGTCTTGAAGTAGAACATGCAAAATATTAGTTTCGATAAAATGTTGTTTATTCATTGGACAGGAAAATCATTCATTAACAATATTGAAACAATATCAACATTTCAATGGATTCTAAAAACTTGAATCAGTCTCTTAATGAAACCTCGGCTTATTCGTTTTTTAAAAATTTTCTCAGAAATTCAATTATTCATTCTATGGTCTTCGTTGAACTCAGATTTTAATCAAATTAAAGCACATATTTTAAAATTTTTTTTAAACCAAAACATATGAAATCAATCGACGATATATTGTCGAAGAAATTTTTTCATACTTCAATGAATTTCAGATGATTTTGCTTTTCAAGAAAAGCTTTAGTCTGAAAATGTATTGTACAGATGAAATGGAACGTGTTATATTAATGGCAAATATTTCTATATAATGCGAAAAATCTAAACCGACGGGAAAAACTGATGACAAGTCAAAAATAATCACGAGAAATGTTCAAAAATATTAACCGTGGCATTCAAACATTTATTGAAACCGCTGTGGGTATTTGATGATTTAATCGTGCCGTTTCGATTTCACTCGACAACACTTCTTTCTTTTATAAAATGTTTATACCATACATTGTAAAACAAATGATCGTTTCTTCATTTTTCACTAACGAATTTTAATTGTCATATACTTCATTCAAACTTCAGAAAATGATCTAAACTCAAATTGAAAATCATGATTAGGAACTCGAATTTTTCATTCTTTAGATCCTATTCAAATATAGAGTACATTATTGACTATGATTTCGCTTTCACAAAATGAGATGTTAATGGCTCGGTCTCAAGAGGGTGTGGGTGTGGGTGTGGGAGGGTGGGTGGAGTGGAGTGTGGTGTGCGTGTGGGTGAGAGCGTGGACTTGGGTGTTAGTCTTCTCTACACTCACACCCCCACCCATATCTATTTCAATAACATGGAGTTGTCGTTGATATGTTTCTGGGCTGTAGAATATACTAATATATGCTCGATAAGACTGATTTCTCGTTTCCCAATATCCAAAACTAAGCGTGTGTTACGAGAACAATATAAATAAGGATCCAAACATTTTTGTTTACAAAAGTGTAATAGCTGCATCAGTGTAGTCAACCTGGAACATTTCAATTTATTTAAAAATATCTTTTACTTTCGGAAGAGCTTAGTATTTTATCATTCTTCATTAGCGAGGCTACCTTCAATGGAGAAATTATTGAGGAACTTTTCTTAATTAGATGCGAAGACATTATATTTTTGAAAGCCCTGTAAGAAAAAGTCACATTTTTTCTAGAAGTCTGCAGTAATATTTCGTTTTGAGAAACACTGATTCGAGTCGTTGTGTTGTACTCATTTATGAAGCTTTTCGAATTTCAATGATTTTTTTTATGAAAACGGATGGAAAATGATAAGATTTTCCTGCCGTTTAGGCTACGAATTAGCATAACAAAGGCTCCGATGCGAAAATCTTTTAACCCTTCCTCCTTCATCTGTACCATATCGCTATACTCTGTCTGATTTGGCGAAAATCTAGACGAAACATTTGCTTCTACATTCGTTCTGTTCATGAAAATGGAGGACAACCTTTCGTTTCTCGGTAAAACATCGTACCCTAGTAGTTTTTCGTGTTGTCCATTAATGTCCAACTCTTAAAACTGATGTACTAGGAATATCTTGGATACGCTATTGCATCAATTTCATTTTTAAGCCATAAGTAGACGAATAGAAAAATAACAACAACTACCTTGACATTCTATTTGTTTACCATTATGATTCATTCATCATGTTGGATGTCTATTTGCTTGCTTTACTCTTTGCGTTCTTCTTTCTCTTCACACATCGGCATACTTTTGAATAACGAACGATGCATTGACTGGAGATGAATGAATAAAGCCTTGAAACAGGCACATTCATGCATGTTCTTCCTTCGTTTTGTGATCATTCTTACACCAACATCGAGCAAGTCGAATGCGTATGAAATACTATATAAATAGGTGGCCGTAAAAGTTGCTTCTGAATCGTGTGCAAATGAGAAAAAAAAATGTTTTTGTATTTGTTGTATTTTTTTTCTGCTTCTATTTCAGAACAGTGATATAGGAATCCTTCAACAATTTACATATTAAAAAAAAGGAAACAAGATGGAAGATACTGTTGATGATGACGATGAAAAACCCATAGAAATCGATGAAGCTCTCTATTCTCGACAGATGTAATTTTCAAATTATCGTTGTTTTTTTATTCTTATGTTTTGAAATTGAACTTCATTCATTCTTGTCTAACAGATACGTCATCGGTAAAGAAGCTATGTATCAAATGTCTCGTTCGCATGTACTCATTTCGGGCATGCGTGGTCTAGGTGTCGAAATAGCGAAAAATATCATTCTAGCTGGTGTTAAATCGGTCACAGTTCAAGACTCGAACACAGTAGATTATGCTGATCTGTCATCACAGGTAAATTAGAAATGAACAAGTTTCTCTAGTCTAATTCGAACTTCGCATTGAGTGTTGAAGACATCTTCTTGAGTGTTCGTTGTGATCAAAACTAGGATCTTGGACATAGGATTTTGTTTTCATAATAATTGTCAAAGTTGACACGAGATCGATTGATTATTTTCACGAGGAGGTATAGCACCTTCGATCGAGTTCCCATTTTTTTTCTTTTTTAAACAGGAGACATCTAATAGATGAAAGGTTTGATTCTAAGAGTTTGGTCAACGATCCCAAAATGCAGTCAAAGTTCTTCGTACGATTCCAAATCGTTTGATTTAGATTCCAGCACTGGAAAACTACAAAGAAACTTGTTGAAGATAAAATTCCCTTCGGAATTGTTCTTTTTTTTTCATGATTAGTTATGAAAAAAAAATCAAATGACCTTCTTCGTATCAGAATATGAAATCATCTCCGCTTTCAAACAGAAGTTTATTCGTATTGAAATTAATTTTGATTCTAAGTAAGCAAAAAAAACCTGAAAGAGAGAAACGTACATATAAGAAAAGTTCGTCATTTATTTCGATTGATCGTTATATATTTTCGATTAATCCATTTGTTTTTGTATTTTCTTTAGAGAAACAAATGTTTTATTCGATAAATGAAAATTTATTGTGCACTTTTCTGCATGTTTACAAACCAATCGATCGACATATAAAGATAGAAAAATATCTGCTGTTGATTGACAATCGATGGAGATTCAGGAGCTATACATTGATAGCGATCTTCCCGAAAACGAATCCGTATAATGAGAAGTTTTCTATTTGTTCTAACAAAAGCTTGAACTAGTATCGAAGTCTTTCGATTGTTGAAGAAATTCTGAAGAAGTCTTAGACAAAGTGGGATGGTCGATTTGAATTCTGGATAATATTTTTTTAAATAATTTTGTCGAACGATGTACACACCAGTTCAGGATTGCGTATTGATCGAACTTCTGCTGAGATAGATCGAATCTTTCGAAAAATTCAGATTTTTGCTTCGAAGTTCCGTTTACAATGCGCGATGATATCTAAAAGATTGGGAATTCGATGAGCTTGATGTTAGAGTATTTGTGTTTTTTCTTTCTTTTCTAGTACTATTTCAATGAATCGGATATTGGTAAGAATCGAGCTGAAGTCGTACATCATAAATTAGCCGAATTGAATAATTATGTTCATGTCAAATTTTCATCAAAGCGTATCAACGATCATTTAACCGAAGATAAAAAATTCAATGTAAGTCTATTCTGTCTATTAGTCGATTTCCTATTGATTATTCTTGAATAAATAGATCATTGTTTTGACTAATAGTTCACTCGATGAACAAATATTCATCAGTGAATATTGTCGTAAATGTCAAATTAAGTTTTTGAATGCTAGTACAAAAGGTCTCTTCGGGTAAGAATATTGATCATGATCTATTCTGTTTTAATTAATTCTGTAAGATTCTTTTTTTTTTCTTACATATAGACAAATCTTTTGTGATTTAGGTGAAAATTTTCAAGTTATTGACACAAATGGTGAAAATCCACTCGTTCGAGTTGTAACAGGAATCACTCATGTATGTATTCCTAGTGTTAGATTGAACAAGATTAAATATATCGATCTCTTACGATTAGGACGAAGATGGTATTGTATTTATGCCAACAGATGTGCGACATGGATTTGAAGATGGATCATATGTCACTTTTACTGGTGTTCAAGGCATGACTGAAGTCAATAATCGAGAATTTAAGATCAACACACCGAGTTTGTATTCTCGTTCAATTGATTTACACTTTGACACAATAAAGTAATTATTGATTATCTAGGTCCATTTACAATCACAATCGGTAATACAAGCCAATTTGGTATTTATGAAGGTGGCGGAACAGTGACCGAAGTGAAAAAACCTGAAACAATACATTTTGTAAGTATTTCTTTTCCCGCTGAAAAAAAATTTTTTTGCATTTGATAATTACTCTAGTCAATCGCTACTACAGCTCATGATTTTCTTGGAAAAACGATACTTTTCTTCATGCTAACAGTTCTATATAATTGTGAATGCACTCAAATTATGTGTCATTTCGTTTATCGAAAGACATAGTAGACACCAAAACATTGTCACTGTATGACGTGTATTATTCGCCACTGACGAAGAAAACATCCGCACCTGAAAAAAATCATTTCACGATGCAACTATGACCATGTTTGATTTTTCATGTCAGCAGTCAAATTTAAAAAAAGAGTCTCAGTTCGAAAATGACTGAAAAAATGCATTCACGTACTGTCTGTCGCCGGTACTATTCCTACATCAGTTGAAATGCATTTGTCGAATACGATCGATTTTAGTATGTGACTAATTCGAATATTCATGGAGTAGCTTGCCGCTAGTAATTTCTGTCATACGGACGAATAGTTTCAAATCGTCACGTTGTATTTTATTTAAGAAAAAATCATTAGAAACGTGGTCAAATTCAATTCTTTTTTACTTCTTGACAAAGAATGGGTAATTTGCAATGTTTAACATTTTATGAAATGTTGGATATTTGAAAATCAAGATATTGAAGTCTAAATGTAGTGATTTGAGGGATTCCTCTGTATCATTTTTTTGGTGAATTGTCAGCTAGAAATGGTCCTTTTGCTCTACTTTCACCAGACGATATTTCTTGGCTATATATTACCAAGCGTCGGAAGCAGGTTTTTTACCATGCTAAGAGTATTATTCTGTAAGTCTGGTAACTAATCGTAGAACTTGATCGAAGGATCCTACGATGTCGAGATGTAAATATGTTACAATTCAGAAGTCGAGTTAGGTTTTTTCATGTTGTTCAACTCGCGTTTCTTTTTTCAGTATAATATGCAATCATTCACAAGAGAAAACTATTTCGGAAAGTGATTCAAACTTCTGTTGAGTTGAACTTTTGTTTGAAGACAATTGTAATACACTAGCTGTATCGTTCTCTCTTCTACAGACTGAAAAAAGCAAAAGAAACATATTTCCTCCATTAGTCGAAATACTGAGCTATGCATAGAAGAATACTTTAGTTTTAACTAACGATAAATAAAATGTCTTTTGATCATAGAAATCATTTGTTGATTCGTTGTCCAATCCTCAAATGATTACAGTGGACTATTCCAAAATGTTCATGTCCGCCAATCTTCATTTGGCCTTTCAAGCATTGTTTTATTTTAATAAGAAATACAACGCTTTACCGAAACCATGGGATGATGTGAGTATTCTGGTTGGTTTTTTCTTGTTCTCAAAACCATCATTGATCTCATATGTTCAAAGGACGATGCGGAGAAATTTTTCGAAATAGCTAAAGAACTCAACAGTAAAGTGTCCAAGAAGCCGATTACGAACGAATTGAGCAAACATGTTATACAACTCTTTTCGAAAACGTGCACTGGTGATCTGTGTCCGATCCAAGCCGTCATTGGTGGTATTACAGCTCAAGAAGTAATGAAAGTATGTATGACAAGAATATCGAGCATTTTCCAATAAAAATCATTTTCTCTTTTGTTTTCTTATCTTTGAGGCGATTACTGGAAAATTTATGCCAATAAGACAATTTTTATATTTCGATGCTATCGAATGTTTACCTGAAGGTATTTACGAAATGCCGAAAGGTGATGACATTATGATATCATCCAAATATTCACCAATATTACCGACTAGAAAATCTCGTTATTACTCACAAGAACTCGTGTTCGGCACAGATTTTCAACATCGACTTGGTCAAGCCAAATATTTTATTGTATGTTTTATTCTATTCGTCATATGAATATACATGATGATTTATATATTTTGCGGAACTCACATATATTTTTGAAGAAAATAGTGAGTGTAAGTTTTAAGGTCAAGTTTTGGCGGTTCCTCCCACTC